CATACAACTCTTATCACAATCCATACATACATCAATTGTGTAAAGCACATTTGTACATTCATTGCCCTCATCATTCTCAAAACATTTGCTCTCAAAAAAAAAAAAACAAAAAACCATTTTTTCTCCACTTAAGCCCCTGGTTAAAAAGTCTTACTGACATGTACTTCACATGCGATATCATTCAATGGTTCAAATCAACTAGAGCATGTTGCACAATCATCACCACAATCAATTTTAGAACGTTTGCTTCATTCTTGTACCCATTATTATTAGCTCTTTATTATCCCCCAAACTCCTGTTGTGACCCTAAGGAATTATTATTCAAGTTACTGTCTCCCTTTGATTGGGTAACTTTCTTAGTAAGTTTTATTTTTTAAATTACTTTTACTGTGTAACAAGAATAAACAATAACAGTAGAAATGGTTTTTACTTGAAAAGTTATTGTTTATTTTGTTCTAGTCTTTTTGTTTGTTTGTTTTTAGTTAGCACCTTGAACCATATATAAGCTTGAAAGCTGAACAAAAACTAGGTTACGCTTTACATCCCTGAGAGAGAATCGGAGCCCTGGTGGCATAATGGTTATATGTTGGGCTGTTAACTGCAAGGTCAGCAGTTTGAAACCACCAGCCAGCTCTGAGGGAGAAAGATGAGGCTTTCTGCTCCCGTGGAATGTTACAGTCTCAGAAACTCAGAGGGGTCGTTCTACCCTATCTTTTAGGGTCCCTGGTGAGTCAGCACCAACTCGATGGCAATGAGTTTGGTTTTCTGGCTGGAAAGAGAATGGCCATCAGAGCCTTTTCTTTGTCCAAAAACGTTCAGAGGAGTGTTGATAGAAAAAAGGCCAGACCACTGGAGATCCCCTTGCAGAGGGGTCTCGGGGAGGAGATGAGCCAGTCAGGGTGCGATGTAACAATGATGAGAAATACAACCTTCCTCTAGTTCCTAAAGGTTTCCTCCCCGCTCCCACTACCATGACTCGAATTCTATCTTGCAAGACTGGCTAGACCAGAGGAGGTACACTGGTACAGATAGGAACTGAAAATACAGGGAATCCAGGACGGATGAGCCCTATAGGACCAGTGGTGTGAGTGGCAAAACAGGGAGGGTAAAGGGAGAATGGGTAGGAAAGAGGGAACCCATTACATGGAACTGTGTGTGACCTCCTCCCTGGGGGACAGACAACCAAAAAGTGGATGAAGGGAGACGTCGGACAGGGCAAGATATGACAAAATACCCATTTATAAACTATCAAGGGCTCATGCGGGAGGGGGGAGCGGGGAGGGAGGGGAAAAATGAGGACCTAATGTCGGGGGTTTTAATGGTGAGAAAATGTTTTGAGAAAGGATGTACAAATGTGCTTTACACAATTGATGTGTGTATGGATTGGGATAACAGTTGTATGAGCCCCTAATAAAATGTTAAAAAAGAAAAAAAAAAAAAAAGAAAGAAAAAAGGCCAGACCTACCTACCTTTTCATCATGGAGATCAGAGGAGACTCTGAGAGGAGGTGTGGGGCGAGAGGAGGAGAGAATCAGTCTCTACAGTAGTGAAGTCTGAACTTTTGTCTGAAGGGTGAGTGACTGTGACCCATTTTCCCTCTTCCTTCCAACTCTACGACTAAAAACAGCCGTTTCCATCAAGTCATCCCAACTCTCAGCCACCCTGTGGGACAGAGGAGAACTGTGCCCTAGGGTCTCCAAGCCTCTTACAGGAGCAGACAGCCTCATCTGTCTCCCCCGGACCAGATGATGGGCTTGACCTGCTAACCTTGAAATCAGCAGTGCACCGTGTAACCCACTGCTCTGCTGGACTCCTGGCTTCAAGAATCGGTCTTGGACCATCAGAGTGTAACAGGATTTGTTGTTGTTCAGTACCACGTGACCCCATGCACAACAGAACAGAACACTGCCCAGCCCTGCTCCATCCTCACAATCGTTCCGCTTGGACCGATTGTTGCAGCCACTGTGTCAATATATCTCCTGGAGAGCCTTCCGCTTCTTGCTGACCTTCTGCTTTGCCAACCATGATGTCCTTTCTAGGAGCTGATCGTTCCCCATAGCATGTTCCAAGTCTATGCGACAAAGTCTTCCCATCCTGCTAAGAAGCACTCTGGTGGTATGTCCTCCGAGACAGATTTGTCTGTTCTTCTGGCAGTCATGGTGCTCTTTAATTCTTTGCCAACACCATAATTCAAATGCGTCGGTTCTTTTTAGTCTTTCTTATTCGCTGTGCAGGGTTCACATGGAAATGAGGCTTTGAAAATACCTTGGTGTGGGTCAGGCGCACCTTTGAAGTGACACCTTTGCTCTTTAACACTGTGAAGACATCTTGTGCAACAGATTTACCCCATGTCAGGTGTTGTATTGCTTGATTTCATGACTGCTGCATCCATGAGCATTGATTGTGGAACATTGTTAGAGACAGGTGTTCAGTTTGACTTTCTTTGCCTTTAGGACTTAAACGTAATTTAAGTGGATTCCACATTACTGAAAGGGTAAGCTGGAGGGAATTAAGAAATATGGGTGAGGAAATGTATAACCAGGCTAAATGTTATTTTTCCCATAGTTCAAGGGCAAGACATTCACAAAGTCGTTCAGTGAGGACTCCTCACCCTCACCCACCCCTGCACCCTCTGCTCACTCTCCCTCAGGGCTCATTCCCTTCTCCCTAGTAGCACATTACTCAGGTGTGGGCCAGTGGTGAGAAGATCAAGAATGGACTTTGATAGTTCACGTTTTAAAGATCATTGGAAAC